CTCTCTCTCTCTCTCACACACACACACACACACACACACACACATATGTTAAATAAGACAGACATTAAATAGTAACTGAAATTTTTCTTTATAATTTTAAGGTAAATAAATTTTCTAATATTCCATTTGTTTATTAAGGCAATAGAAATATGTGATGTTTGAGATCCGCCTGCCTCTGCCTCCCGAGTGCTGGGATTAAAGGCGTGTGCCACCAACGCCCGGCAATAGTAAATTTTTAAAATGATGGACAAATGTCTTTTGCATGTAATGAATATATTTCATTATGAACACATACAGTCTACAAAACTGGAAGACGGAGACAGGGCCGCGCCTCTACTTTGCACGGAGTAGAGCGGTGGTGAAGGTGATGCGCACTCAGCTTTGCTTCTGTCTCCTTTCCCCTTCTAATTTCATTTGTGGCAAGTGTTGCCTGTGGCAGCAACTCCTGGCCTTGCACAAGCTCTCCTACGGAATCAGTGAAGGAGCTTGGCTGCTCCTCTCGTCTGGTCAAGTAGCATCTGTCCTTTGGGAATGTAAGGGATGCATGGAGCTTCTGAGCTCCGCATTTGTAACGGAGGAAACGCACGCAGAAGGTCCTAGTCACCAGCCTGCCACCTTGGCACCGATGTGATCTTCCACTGTCCAGTCTCATCTCTTCCTGCTCCTCAGAGGTCTCCCTCTACCAGTTCTCTTTATTTTGTCTACCACAGAAGGCACACAGTTCACTACTAGCTCTTTTTCTCCAGCAACTAGACACCCATGATGCAAGTTATCTTTATTTTTGTCTTTTCTAATTCCTACAAACTGCCTAGGTAAGACAATAAATTCTTATTTTTATAGGTAGAGCAAGAAGGGTCCAAAACAATGGGATACCAAAACAAAAAACCCCGCTAGATCAGGTGGTTTAGAGAGTAATGTCCACGGGGAAAAGGCAGAGGAAGAACTTAATACAAGTGGATTGCTGCTTGAAATGGCACTTGTGATTTCAGTATGAATTACCCATCTTTAGTTACCCTTTGAGCGGAAACACTGAATATGAGAGATGGGTCATTATGAAATACAAGCGATCAAACTGAATGCTTTTTCTTAGAAAACCACTAGAGTCATGCACACTGATAACTGTTTTTATTTGACATCCAGATTTCAGTATCATATATTTGCATAAATGATAACAACAATTCTAACAATTTATGTTCAGAACTTGGTGTTGGTTCAGCTGATCCCTTTTCTTTCTCTATTTATGTTTGAAGCCTTAAATACTATTGTAGCACCAAGAAGACAGTGATGTAGTCATGGATATATGCAGCATGGGGGGTAGGTTGTCCTTAAGCCATGGGTTGTTTGGCAAGATGTAGTTTATCAAATGGGATAGGAGAGGGTAGGAAGGTGAGTGGGGGAGCTCCTGAAAGAAACATGAATACATTTTAATGCATCAGCAAGCTTACACTAAGCTAGTATTACCTGCTCTACAACTGCAACATGGTAGCATTTACAGTTTGTATCTGTGGTTCTTTCCCACACTCAATGGTTAAAACCCCTTCCACTCTACAGCTAGAAGGGGCTCACGAACCAGGCATGTGGTGGACTGGGATGGAGAGACAGGCCTTCAGGTGTTGACTTCTCAGTAGGCTGTGCTCACTCCAAAGGCACACCCGTTTTCTGGAGATGTCAGGAAATGTATGGTCCACGAATTAACACTTCATTTTCTAGTGTGAGGTATGTTAAAAGTGACTGAATTTTAGGGTTAAGACCCCTCTGCACAAACCTTTTGGATTTGTCATGATTTTCACAAGGCCTCTGCATTTCTGAAGCTCAGTGTTTACTTTCAAGTTTTGAGGGGTTAAAGATTAGGGGAGTCATGAATTACGGCTTCTCATTTGCCCACAGCCCAAGGAACAGCTTTCTTGCAAATGTAACAACTAAGTCAATGATTCTTATCTTTTCAAATGTCATGTCAAAGTGAAAGGGTGCCATTCTATCACACCACTCTGGAAGATAATACACATTATAGAGAGGAGACATTCAGAGGTAGGTAGCCCTTGTTGTCAGGTCTTTAAGGAAGTGCTAGACTCCAAGGCAACACTGACAAAAGTTTTTGGTGCTTTGAAATTAAAAAAAAAAAAGAATTTTAAGGTAAATGGACTGATAATTAAATTAAAATGATCAGAACTGAATTATATAATGTAATGATCTACATTGGCTTTTTCAGTTGAGTATAATAATCATAATAAATCTTATTTACTTTGATAGAACATAATTTTCCCTCAATATAAAAGGGAGATATCATTTACAGCATGACCTAGAATGTTTAAACACCAGCATCTCTATTTTGTGGTATTGAGCGTGGAACCCCAAGGCCTTGCATTTGTGCAGCAAGCGCTCCTCTGCTCAGCTGTGCCCTGACCCCCGTGGCTTCCTATGGAGAAGTTTAGATTTCTGCACACCGAGGTGATTGCTCCTGGTGCACAATGAACTGCTGGGCGGATGAGGGAAGGCAGAGGAACATGACGGGTGCCACATAGGTTAGCTTTTGACGGCCATGGTCCAGAGAAGCGGGTGGTCAGTCTCCACAGTCACCACCCCAGACCCATCGTAGGTGTTAGAAGTACTGACCAGTGTTCCAAAGGCAAGCACATCATTTGCTGTGGGGAAAAGGAGAAACAGATTAATGGAAAATACTTTGCACAGAGCAGACCAAGTTTGTCAGCAGTTATGACGACACAGTTGAGCATATTCTTTGATAGATGTCGTACAAAAGCAGAATGAAGGAAACACATGGTGTAGGGTTTTAAAACCAAGAATTTCTACAATGTTCTCTACCCATTCTCAGAACTTCTCATAGTCTCATTCACCGTTTTAGGCTATGCATTATTATAGGTAATAGATTCACTAGCCTCCCCCTTTTCTTTACTAATTCTAAACTCAAAATATTTATCTGTAATGTGCCATTTACTTTCTTGTTTGCCTGGGTAATTTTCATTTATTTTTTGATGGTACAGAAATAACTATTTTATAAAACCATTAAATTCTGTAAGGCACAGTGCAAGTCATAGGGGACAGGAAACCAGAGACCTAAAAAGCATGGAGTTTGGGTCATTATTTTGACTCCTAAAGAAATGTGGTGAGCATAGCTTATATTCTGGAAAGTTAATGGGAACACAAGGTCAGAGCTGACTTTCAGATGTCCAATATTCTACAAGTTACAGTCTCAGCTCGGGACAAAGGCAGGAGATAAGATTATCCTTCAAGCTACTGAACTATCAGAGTGAAGGTGTAAGTTTGACTTAGGAAGTTAGAGTTTGTATGTGTCTTAGGGTTTCTATTGTTGTGAAGAGACGCCATGACCATGGCAACTCTTGTAAAGGAAAACATTGAATTGGGGGGGGGCATACAATTTCAGAGGTTCAGTCCCTTATCATCATGGTGGGATATGGTGGCCTGCAGGCAGACATGGGGCTGGAGAAGGAGCTGAAATTCCTACCTCTGGCACAGGCAACAGGAAGCAAACATTAGTGAACACAGGGGATGGCTTTAAACCTCAACACCCGCCTCCACAGCGACACACTTCCTCCAACAAGGCCACTCCTAATAGTGCCACTCCCTATGAGCCATTCCTCATGGGGGCCAATTACATTCAAGCTACCACAGTGTGTTTAAATATCTCACAGGTACACACATGTAAATATATATTTTATTTCTTAGCAACTTAGCACCTTGGCACAAGTGAGCACCTTCTGCCTTGCTTCCTTGGGATGCTTCAATTCATCTGTGTAACTTGAAACAACTCTCTTGCAAATATCCTTTGATAGACAGGATTTTCTTGGTTAAAATGTGAAGAGAAACACAAACCGGTGTGAAGCAGAAGCTGCCCTTTCCTTCAGAATCTAGCTATGCAGTTCATGTTCCAGGGAAACAACTCAGTTACAAACAAGGCTCACTCTCCACTAGAGGGGGCCCTGATATCTTCCTGAGGACACCTTGAAAATACAATTTAAATCCCCAGCAACAGCATTGCAAGTCAACATTTACTAAGCACTACCGCTGCCCTTGTTTTTTCTTTTAAATTAAAATTTATGTTATTTGCTTTTCTGTAGTTGTCAACATCTTTACAAATGCAAACAAAAAGCCATAAGATAGAACTGTCCAGGAATGCAGAGCGACTTTCCTATGAACACAATGTTTAACGTGCAGTACACTTGGAGACCCACATGCGGTTACATGACGTGCAGAGTGGGGTCTGGCTGGGAGTCTGCTTCCTCTAAGACTGTGCCCTCTCCCCTCTCCCCGCAGTGGCTTCCTTAGACTCATCCCAGAAGTAGGGCTACAAAATTTTACAAACATTGTTTTAGGGGCTTTTTTTTTCCCGAGACAGGGTTTCTCTGTGTAGCTTTGGAGCCTATCCTGGCACTCGCTCTGGAGACCAGGCTGGCCTTGAACTCACAGAGATCCGCCTGCCTCTGCCTCCTGAGTGCTGGGATTAAAGGCTTGCACTACCAACGCCCGGTGGCAGTGTGGACTTTTGATATCATTTGGTTAATCACAAGGGCAAAAGAGGGTGCGTTAGAAGCTCTGCTAGTTTCAAAGAGGGATCCTCTATAGTGAAGAACCAAGTACATATAGTCACCTGAAACTGACAAACCTGGAGCCAATTAGGTGAAAGTCCTAGTTTTAACTGAGCTCAAAGGATAACAGTATAAAACTGTCGCTGTGGTTGACAGCTGTGCATTAATTCCTTTCTGATTTTCCCAGGACTAAGAAGAATTCCAGGCTTTCAGAGGCAGGAAACCACATCATGTACTTTTATTTTTTCTAAGATATGATGCATCCTAATTTGTTTTCAAACAAGGAAAGACTTGAAAATGGCTGTGTTAGAACACACATGGGAACTAAGTCTTTTCAGCAAAAAACACTTTAACCAGCAAAGCAGATATAAGTTAGGCTTTATTCCATAATATTTGCTATTGCACCAACAGCTAATTAACCACCACAAGTATGTGTGATAATCTCCCAGTTCACTGAGAGTAGAAACTAAAATGAATAACCTGAACCAAAGAACAGTCCGTTTAAATTTATATTGGCCCTAGTGGGACCTACTGCTGTTGTATTGCTAAATGGACATACTGTGCGTGTCAAATGGCCTTCTCAATACCTAGTCTTGATCTAAGGATTATGTTGCTGTCCTCTTGGCACAGAAGCTGCCTTCTGTAATGCGTGGTGGTTATTACAGAGGTTCATAATTGGTCAGCATGCTGAGAATGAGCCCATGATTGAATGCTCAGCCTGCAAGGAGACATCTACCAAAGAAGGGGTGGGAAGAAAGCAAGAGCTAGAGGAAGCAGAGGGCTGTTGCTTGGGTCTGTGCCTTCTGGGTATGGCATGGCCACTGCTCTCTTGAACATATTATTTGCATGGACTGCATAAATTTGGACCCATCAACAATTACGCCACAGACAGGGCAGGTTCCATCCCTGCCTGAGGACTGACCTTTGATAAAGGACAGGGAGACATTTGCTTCAACAGTGCAGTGTTGCTGGACTTTCTTTCCCACCAGGTCCCACAGCTGCTTTTCTGCCCCAAATAAGCACACAAAGACTTATAATAATTACTAAACTGTAGGGCTTCTTATTGGCTAGCTCTGTCTTAAATATGAACCCATTTCCATAAATCTATGTATTTCCACATGGTCTTAGCTTACTGGAGAATGCCCAGACCTGTTACTCCTTTGGCGGCTATATGGAGTCTCCTTCTGGTGCCTCTCTGCCTCTCTCCCCAGTATTCTCCTCGTCTCCTAGCCCTGCCTATCTTCTGCCTCTATTGGCCAAATAGTGTTTGATTCATTAACCAATAAGAGAAACATATGTACAGAAGGACATCCTCCATCAGTGTAGTTACTATATGGAGCCTAACCTTCTGTAGATCACAGAACCATGCCCATGTCAACAACCTAATAAAATTCAATGACGAACACAACACATACATACATACACACACACACACACACACACACACACACACACACACACGGTCAACCTAACTTGGAAGAGGAAGGGGAACAGGAGGAGTTAGAGGGGGTTAAGAAAAAGCCATGGGAGAGTAAGTTCAAAGTAATTTATATCCATGTAGCAATGTCACAATGAAACACACCATTATGTATTATTAATATAAACTAAAAAAAGCCCAAATTTTCTGTTATTCTAAGAAAATCATAGTTTTGAATACCACAATAAAATCTTCACAGAACGAATTTGATAGACATTTTGGGTCATGACTAGAGTCCCGTCACCCCCAGACATCTGAGGGTCAATCTGGGAATAAAGAAGAGGTGGAACACATCCCTCATCTGTGACACATGGCATTATAAATGTTACAGACTTCATAGTATTTGAATAGTAATGAGGACAGAACTCAAGTCATTATCACTGTGTACACACGAGCTGATACAAGCTGACGTTAACTTTGTTTCTTACTTAGTGAGTGTGGCTTGACTGTTGCCTGTCACAAAAGGGCATACATGGGATTGTCTACTGATGGTGTCCTGTGGGCAGACAACAAGTTTTATATTACAGAACATTCTGGGTCTTTAGATTAGGGGTGGTCATCCTGAAAAAGACCCTGGCAGAGGGAGTGAGCTTCATCTACACTGGAGAAAAAAAAAAAAAAAAAAAAAAACCTTCTTTTTCACACTAGAGAACTTGTCTAGGACAGAGCTGAGTTCTTAGACAGTTCAGACTCCAGTGCAGACAGTTCTTTCTCTGGACTACAGAGTGCAGTGAGCCACACACACAGCCGCTGTAATCAACTCGTCATTCAGATGAAGTCCTGTTCTTAACAAAGGACAAGAATAAAATACACAATGGGATTACAGGAAACTACCAGACCTACGCCTGGTCTTTGTCTAATTGCAAATCCTGCATTTCTCCTATTCCTTTCAAGCTATAGTCCTCATTTGTGCTGGTGACAGGTTGTTTGGCAGGCCCGACAAGGACTGGTTGGGTTCCTATTCCAGTGAAATTTCACAGGAGGTAAGTTAGGGTGTTGGTAGAGTCAGAGCCTAACTTTTGGGTTTCATATTTTAGAGAACTAGACCTCAGTAATACAAGACACATTCTCATAGACATTGCCACCTTCTGTCCTGGGTTCTCCAGAGTAAAGGTGAGAACCAGGAGCATGTAAAGGAAAAGCACCTTTCTGTCAAAACAGTGGGGACCCCTTCATGGGGAGGATAGAAGGGTAGACCCAAGTTCAAAGCCCAGCTCTTTCATTCACTAACTCAGTAAGCTGAATTATTTCTGTGGTTTCAGTTTCCTTAACTGAGGAATGTGACGAATAATTCTTACTTCACAGGCATGGTATATAGAGTACAGGATCATATTTCTAACATATAATAAGTACTAAAGAAATATTCTCTTCATTTTGTTTTCTCTGGCTATTCTACTGAAAGAACATGTTAGGATGGACTCTTAAAATCAGAGAGAGAGGGAGGGAGGGAGGGAGAGAGAGAGAGAGAGAGAGAGAGAGAGAGAGAGAGAGAGAGAGAGAGAGATTTAAGCAGTTAGCAAATGTCTTCATGAACGTGATTAGCATATAGCTGGCTGAGTTGAATGAGGTAAACTTACACCTTTTCTAAGCTAATTTCTGTGAA